TGAACAGAATACGTAAACACATATACATGTAATTACAAAAAATCCAATATTTAAATTTAAAAATTGAATTTTTAATTAATTTTTTGAAATTGTTAGTTTTTTTAATCATTTTAAGACACAACTATAAATTTTTCTCATGAACTAAGTTACTTGTAGTAGTATGTATCTAAAAACATGTATTTAAAGATAGTTCAAGGATATTTTAAATTAATTGTAAACTCAATTTTATTATTTGATTTGAACTTAAATCCAAATAAGTCCTTGTATGGGAGCTGTAGTTTTTTTTGAAAAATACAAAAGTAGCTGTAAAAACTTATCACGTTTTCTTAAATTGTTTCGTAATTGACGGATTTTGCATATTTTCAATGTCATAATGATAAGTAGAAGTATAAACATTATAGACTAGACATAAAGGCAGATAGACAGACAGACAGACAGACAGACAGACAGACAGACAGACAGACAGATAGACAGACAGATGGACAGACGGACAGCCAGGCAGACGGACAGACATTTTTAAATCGATTCAGAATTTCAAAGAACCCCAAATAAATATATGTGCACATTGTTGGATCTCAGTTGAACATTGCTTAATGTTACACGTGAAATGGCAAACTTATATATACCATCTATCAACACTGAGTTTAAAAATAACCACACAAAAGAACATTGAATTAATGTTTTTGTCTCACCGACGACGACAGTTCATTGTATGCAAAAGACCATTAACACGTAGACAACAACTTTTGTACCACAAACAAAAAAAAAAAACAAAAGAAGAATTAGACAACGCCAACGGTTTTTACTTTAAATGTCATGGTAATGTTATCATCAAGAGACATTTCAACAATTGTTTAAGCTCTAATGTACCTTTAATTTAGTTTATTTTTTTTTTTTCTTTTTTTGCTCATTGCAAGATGAAGAGAGAAATGAATGGGTATAAAATAAAATTTACGATTATCAAAGCTGTAAATTGTTTATTTAGCAGAACAGAAAAACCATTTGAAAGTTTATCTTAAATTTGATTTTAATATGAAAATTAATGTCAAATATGTCGAAGACAAAGAGCAGATATTTTTAGTGGCCGCATAAAACTTGAACTTCAACACTTTAACCTTTTTACTTAAAGGACCAAAAACTAATTTATGAAATTTCTAAAATAAAAATGGAAATGATGTAGTCCTGATCCAGACTCTATCGTCACAGAGAACGATTCTTGCTTCATTTCTATTGGAACCATTAGTTGAAACACTTTTAGAAGTAAACAACAAAGATCTTATACAACAGCATCCATGTAATTAAATTTTTGGCGTTTATAGCAAAAAAGTAATGTTTACAGTTTAGTGTTATAAATAACATATTTCTTGGGATAAATATGTATATGCGCAAATTACATACATATGTATGTACTTAATAATGTTGAAGCTATTAACTCCCTGTGGCGTGTAAGTAATATGTAATTAGGGAAAGTGTAATTTTTTATAGCTCATACGCAATGTTGAACTAAATTTGAAATAAGAATAAATTAAAGTAAACGTATTTAATTGAAGTCAAATGCCTTATTCTGCATGGTTAGTTATAAATTAAGGGAAGAAATTGGAAGGTTAATTCTCTTTCTCTTTTTAACTTTTACGGCGCAAAATTACCGTAAAATATATTTTTAAAAATTATTAAGATGCTGATACGTCTGTTCAGGGATGGATAATGTAGTAATTTTTATGTGCTTTTTGACATCGAACAAGTAAGGAAGTAAAGGAAGTAACACCTGTTGTGAATATATGTAAAGAACCCAGGCCTCCGTTATAAGTGGTTAGCATTCTAGACCGGTAGACCGGAGGTGTGGTAACTAACTAACTAACTACTAACTAACTAACTAACTAACTAACTAACTAACTAACTAACTAACTAACTAACTACTACTAACTAACTAACTAACTAACTAACTAACTAACTAACTAACTAACTAACTAACTAACTAACTAACTAACTAACTAACTAACTAACTAACTAACTACTAACTAACTAACTAACTACTAACTAACTAACTAACTAACTACTAACTAACTACTAACTAACTAACTAACTACTACTAACTAACTAACTAACTAACTAACTAACTAACTAACTAACTAACTAACTAACTAACTAACTAACTAACTAACTAACTACTAACTAACTAACTAACTAACTAACTAACTAACTAACTAACTAACTAACTAACTACTAACTAACTAACTAACTAACTAACTAACTAACTAACTAACTAACTAACTAACTAACTAACTAACTAACTAACTAACTAACTAACTAACTAACTAACTAACTAACTAACTAACTAACTAACTAACTACTAACTAACTAACTAACTAACTAACTAACTAACTAACTAACTAACTAACTAACTAACTAACTAACTAACTAACTAACTAACTAACTAACTACTACTAACTAACTAACTAACTAACTAACTAACTAACTAACTAACTAACTAACTAACTAACTAACTAACTAACTACTAACTAACTAACTAACTAACTAACTAACTAACTAACTAACTAACTAACTAACTAACTAACTAACTAACTAACTACTAACTAACTAACTAACTAACTAACTACTAACTAACTAACTACTACTAACTAACTAACTAACTAACTAACTAACTAACTAACTAACTACTAACTAACTAACTAACTAACTAACTAACTAACTAACTAACTAACTAACTAACTAACTAACTAACTAACTAACTAACTACTAACTACTAACTACTAACTAACTAACTAACTAACTAACTAACTAACTAACTAACTAACTAACTAACTAACTAACTAACTAACTAACTAACTAACTAACTAACTAACTAACTAACTAACTAACTAACTACTAACTAACTAACTAACTAACTAACTAACTAACTAACTAACTAACTAACTAACTAACTAACTAACTACTAACTACTAACTAACTAACTAACTAACTAACTAACTAACTAACTAACTAACTAACTAACTAACTAACTAACTAACTAACTAACTAACTAACTCTAACTAACTACTAACTAACTAACTAACTACTAACTAACTAACTAACTAACTAACTAACTACTAACTAACTAACTAACTAACTACTAACTAACTAACTAACTAACTACTAACTAACTACTAACTAACTAACTAACTAACTAACTAACTAACTAACTAACTAACTAACTAACTAACTAACTAACTAACTAACTAACTAACTACTAACTAACTAACTAACTAACTACTAACTACTAACTAACTAACTAACTAACTAACTAACTAACTAACTAACTAACTAACTAACTAACTACTACTAACTAACTAACTAACTAACTAACTAACTAACTAACTAACTAACTGACTAACTAACTAACTAACTAACTAACTAACTAACTAACTAACTAACTAACTAACTAACTAACTAACTAACTAACTAACTAACTAACCTAACTAACTAACTAACTAACTAACTAACTAACTAACTAACTAACTAACTAACTAACTAACTAACTAACTACTAACTACTAACTAACTAACTAACTAACTAACTAACTAACTAACTAACTAACTAACTAACTAACTAACTAACTAACTAACTAACTAACTACTAACTAACTAACTAACTAACTAACTAACTAACTAACTAACTAACTAACTAACTAACTAACTAACTAACTACTACTAACTAACTAACTAACTAACTAACTAACTAACTAACTAACTAACTAACTAACTAACTAACTAACTAACTAACTAACTAACTAACTAACTAGCTAACTAACTAACTTATCTCGAAACATAAACTTCACCGTGCATTTGTCTTTTAACCGCAACATATTCTTCTGAATTTTTGTTTAAACCACAGCCACTACGTGGATCCCGAAGGAACCTCAACCAACTGACTAACCAGGACAAGTCATTTGGACAACTGGCTAAGACACCATGTCAAATCTTTCCAAGGAAAGTTCATGTAGTGAATTAACATCACCAGTTTATAGTCTCGGCAGACTAGAGGTATTGGTATCAACTGTTTACCTCAGGATTGCAATACACCAAGATGAGGGTCTTCCATTAAGGAAACATCCCTGCGGAGCCTTGGGCCAAAAGAGGTCCTATTAAAGTTTGGTTACAAAGTTTACATGGACAGACAGACGGACATAGATACAGCAACTCAGAAAATGATTCTAAAACTGCTAATTGGCTTGGAGGTGCCTTTAGGTCCAATATTTTTGTGGTTTATAAAAATGATCACAAATCTTTTTTAACATAAACCTATTCTTTAGACAAGTCAATATACTAGTAATTATACTAAACCATAAACAAATCTAAAGCCTGATGAATAGACTACTTCAAAATGAATAGCTATTCCGGAAGTAATATATCGCCTAATGTTTTTTGCGGCATTTAGAAAAAAATTTCAATGCTTCACATGAGAATTGATCAAAGACCGAAAATTGTGTAATATCCGGAAAACTTTTATTAGAAGATGACGACTAGCTGCAAGCGTTTTCATCGCTGAAAAAAATAAATCTTAAAAAAATAAGAAAATTTAAACAAAAAAAGTTATCTAGCTGTTGCAAGAAGTGAACACTATGAAAAGAAAATATGTATTAACATTCCATATTTCAACAACGAATTGCTCTTTAGTAGTTTTATACAACAAATAAAACTTTTAAAGCCACTTAATCTAGTGGATGTCGTAAAAAACTGTTTAGCTTCTTTTTTTAAATTTATAAAAAAAGAAAAGATAAAAAATTATAGTTCATTTGTTTATAAAATATTTTTAATCTTCAGTACAAAATACCAACTATAAGTTAATAAAAAAATATATATATTTTATATTAACATAAACAATCTCAGGTAGTAAATGCTCTGTGGAAAACTTAATCTTATTTTTTCCTGTTATATATTATAAAAAAAAAGTTTTATTTAATGATATTTATCTTATAGAGAAAAAAACACATAGAAACTTACCTTTTTAGTAAATATTTTTGTATACGGTATAAACTAAATACAATATTTTTTTTCCAGGAGATTTTGTGTGTGAAAACTTAAAGTGGTGAACTGCAGCAAAAACCGTAGTAGAATTTTATGATAATTAGTCACTTAAGGTCTCATTAGGGAAATACCACAAAAACCCAAACACTTTTTTTAAATACACTTGTATTTTTTTTCTTTCTTGTAAAATGCTTAAAGGAAACAAATAAAAAAAAAATATTTTATTTTTTAGTTAAGTTTTCTATTTGAAAAAAAGTGTAAACCTCTGGTGTATTATGAAGAGGCTTACACAATATATTTTTGTGTATTCCTTTTTGCCTTTTTTTCACATTTCTATCAAGTGTTGTTGTTATTTTATATTATTTTGAAATATATTTATTTTTTTGTTTTATATAAAAACACTTAAACTGTTTAGTACATATATCAGTTATATTTTTATGACATTGATAAATAACCTGTAAGAAAAAGAACATGGAATTTTTAAATAAAAATCTCTAAGGGATCATCTATCTATTCACTTTTTCCTTTATAGATTTAAATGGAAAAGATATTTATGTATATCTGTTATTTATTAAATGATTTTTTTTTTTTTGTAAATGGAATTCATTTCAAATTAAACCTCCACTATAAGAGTTATTCAGCTGACACTACTACACACAATGCATTTTACAATAATTTTATTTAGCGTTAAAGAATAACAACTTTAATATTAAAGACAGATAGATGCATCATCATCATTGGGAAATTTTAGACATGGAATTCAGAAAATTATTAATACACTTTACAAGAAGAAGAATTAAATTTAGATAAAAGTTTAGTTAGTTAGTTTGAAAGGAGGATGTACATATATACATCAAATGCGAAGAAATACACCTAGGCCTCTATTGGGCCTGTTGTGCGCTCCTTAACCACTGCCTCAGGTGGGAATCGAACCCATCGCCTCCGGTTGACATTGAAGTTAATTTTACCGAATTTCATTGAAGGTGTTTATAAGGGAATTAACGACGTTCAAGCATTTTTAGAGGGTGACTTTGCAAGGGGGCTAGGGATAAATAAGGGACGCTAATTACGAAATTTTCCACTATTATTTATACTGGTATAAAATGTAGTTGTGCCTATTTTTGTAGGGATATTAGGTATGTTATTTGGCATGATTATGATAAGTTCAAATCCCAATTTAGGGGGTCCGGTTATATGGGGGTTAGGTGTAAAAATGGACCGATATCAACCAAAATCCATAGGGTCCTTGGGTCAAAAGTAATGTATGTGCCAAATTTCATCCAATTATCTTCAAAATTGCGTTTTGTAGTTTGATTACAAGGACAGACAGACGGACGGACGGGCGGACGGACATGGTTTAATCAACTCTGAAAATGATTCTGAGCCGATTGGTATACTTAAAGGTGGGTATTGAACCATTAATTATATGTGTTACAAACATCAACACAAATCCAGGGTATATTGGATCCCACTAAAGTAGTGTAGGGCATAAATAGGTGGATGGTATTTTAACATTGTCTTTCTATTCGTAATACATGGAAATATAAATATATACTTCATCCTTATTACATTCTAAGATGATTCAGCTATGACCGTTTGTTTGTCTATGTCTATGTTGTCTAATGATATTTGTCAAATAAGTTAGTTAGTTTGAAAGTAACAAATCCGAAGAAATATAGCTGTGCCCATTATTTTACCAGTATCTCTGTTAGGTATCGAAATCATGATCTCTAAATTGATAGACAAGAACACTAAAAACTAACCTACCGAAGGCGCATATGTTACATCAAATCTTAAGAACAACCTCCTGACCTCCACACTAACTACTAACCTACTGAAGTCATACATTTGACATAAACAATTTATTTTTATAAACCAAAATCTCTCAACCAAATTTCAAAAGAAGCGGTTATACATAGAAATGCCGATATGCATGTGAAACTAGAATCCATTTGTAGTAATTCTGCATAATCCGTTTTATACTCTTTACCCTCGTGAGAAGGGTGTGTATATATAACATTTCCCGATCCTACAAAGTATATATATTCTGGATCCTTTAAGATAGCGGAGTCGATTAAGCCATGCCTGTCTGTATTTAAAATCAGCAAAATCCGTCCATAAATAACGGAGATATAAGCAAAATTCCGAGGCAACCTCTGAAAATTGCATCATGCTCTGAAAAAAAAAAACAAACAACAACATATGCATATTGAAAAAGCGTATGTGTGGTTATATGTTGGTTTTATTGCTTTGCGTATTTTGTTAGTTTTTTGTGTATTTTGTTTAGTTTGGCGTTTGTTGTTGTTTTATGTTTTGTTGTTGCTACAGTAACGATAGAGTTAGAAAATATCAAATAAATTGAAATGTTAAAAATTATATTTATTTTAAACACACTATAGTGAAGGGTCTATAAGATTCGCCTAAGGTGAATATTGAACTCTTACTTGATTATAATCAGCTCTTATGTCCATATAAAAGGACCTCAAAGTTGAATTTCATACGAATATTTACATGCATTGTATGATGTTAATATTGGTATCAAATGAAAACAGGGAATCAGTGTATTCTATATATCGTCACCTAACACGGAAACATTTTTAAAGTTTTCCAGGAGAAGCAAAAATCTATTGAAATTGAAAATTTGTTTCTATCATCAAGATTTATTTGTAGTAAATAAACAAATTGTTTAATAGTAAAGCCTATAAGTTATTATGATAGTTGACAATGGCGTATATAAAAATTGATAAATTGGACTTTTTACCTTTAATATATAAATGTTTTTGTAGATAGGGCCTTTTGTTTTTGTCAATGAAATCGGTAATTTTGGGCGGAGGAGTCCAATTTTTTGTGTGGACATATGTTTTGATGCAATACATTATAATCAACAATAAAATCGATTTTGAATTTTTGGTTAATTAGGGCCGTTTGCGTTTCAGGTGACGATATATATCATTTATTTGATTTACTTAAACAACAAATCTAATAAGAGCTGATTATAAAAAACTGAGTACACAGAGTTAATAGCAATGGTCCTCAGTTTCTTGTAGATATATAATTATACTGTTGCACAGTATAATTACTGCCAGTTATTATCAGTGCACCAGTACGTATGTGTACCATTGAATATTGTAATTTCATACGACGCCGTTGACAAAATTTATTAAATGCATACGTTTTCCCAATGATATCTTACAAAATGCCATCAAATAACAGAAATAAAATTAATATACTACATTGGGGGAACCGAGCGGAATTCGTGAATCCTTTAGATATTTTAGTACAAATTCTGACTAATCACCCAAACTAGAATCTGAGTACTCTTAAATAAACATTTTAAGTTAATTTTAGAATTACTTTCAACTATCATTGGAATTTTTCTATTTTTCCCCCCTTCAAATAGGATAAATTATAATATTATTACCAGTACACCGGTACGTATGCGTAACATCAAGTATGTATTGTGATTTCATTCGACACCCCAGACAAAATTCACAATGATGATACCAAATGTCTTTAAATAACAAAAATAATCAGGTATGTGATGAAATTCATTTTTAAAATCGAATTGTTTTGAAATCGACAAAAAACGGTTTTTTGTATTATTTAGGAAAAGACGTAGGCTTTTCAGTGAGTATATCTAACGATAATTTATATTTCAGCGTTTATTTCTTTGTATTTAATAAGTGGAAAGTTTTATTTGAAATCCAGCCAGAACTCTAGTGAGTAGAAGAGACATAAAAGCTAATGAATAACAATACTAGTTCTTATACTCTCCACCACCAAGAAATATTCATCTCAGACCCAACAAAGTATACATATATATTCTGGGTCCTTATGAAATTCTGTGTCGATTTAGCTATATCCGTCTACTCGTCCGTCTGTCCGTCCGTCCGCACGTCTGTCTGTCTGTGTAAAACACGAAATTCACACAAAACATTCATTGATATCCGGTACAGTTTGCTATTGAAAATCATACATTTTGGTATCGAAAATCAGCATCCGTTCAATAGGTTCAGAGTTATGAGTAAAACTTTCAGACAACCTCTAAAAAAATCTTGCTTTTTCAACTGTTTTTTGCATTTTTTTAAAAACTACTGCAGATAAAGGAATGCATTTTTGCACATATATGGTTTTATATATAAGGTTTAACTATGTAGAAAATCGAATCATAATTTCTTAAAGCAACCATAAAATACGTCAAAAAGGTAGTTAGAAAATTGTCTTATTTTACAAAAAGACAATAAATGAAAAATCTCCAAGCAAACTGGTTTCAACCTAGACCCTTATAGCTGCTGGTCCTGTGTTCTTACCACTAATTACTCGTTTTACTTGTTAACTAATAATTTTTTACTTGTTAACTAATAATATTTACATAAAAATACGATTTTCGGTTTCTGAAAGAAAACTTTCGTAGCATTGAAAATTCAGTTATTATAGCCTCCACGACCATCAATGGTGCAGGTTTGTTATTTTGTGTCTAACACTGGGAAATATTAATTTCGGGCCCATAATATTTACATATATTTATACTACAAACATATGAATATTATGGGTCCTTATGCAAATTTTGAGTCGATTTAGCTATGTCCGTCTTTCTGTGTAAAAAATGCTTAAACTAACCCTTAAATGCATAGCCCACCACACTTGGTACATAAATTTAAATAAGCACAAATTAAAGAAAGTACAAAAATGTATTTGCAGCAAATTATATTTGAAATTAATTTAAACAATATACATTTTCATTCAAATATTTAACGTTTCAGTCCTCTTAACAAACAAATTTCATTATCTTCAAAACTGCGATCTGTAGTTTGGTTACAAGGTTTACATGGACAGACAGACAGACAGACAGACGGACGGACAGACGGACGGACATTTCTTAATTGACTCAAAAATATTTTCTTTGGTCATTACATTTGTAACACATAGAAATATTAATCGTAGATCCACAAAAGTATTCTGAGTCCTTATTTAATTCCAAGACGATCCATACCATGTATGTCCGTCTGTCTGTTGAAAGCACAATAGAGTTCGAACGGAAAGAGCTAGAGAGCTGTAATTTTTCACAAATATTCTTTTTTTAATCAGTTTGTAAGGCATTGAAAATGAGCAATATCGGTCGACCCCTATCGATTTTTAAGCTTTATAATATTTCGAATATAATAAAACCCTCACTTTACATCTTTAGGAACATTATATAAGAAAGCTCGTGATCAAGAGATTATTTAAACAGACAATTTCGAATTTTGAATAGACCTAGTTAGATAGATAGATATATACATACATCAAATCCGAAGAATACACCTAGGCCTCTATCGGACCTGTTGTGTGCTCCTTTACCAGTGTGCCTCAGTTGGGAATCGAACCGACTGAATTGACTTAAACTAAGAAATAATATTCCA